GTAGAATGATGGAACTAACACACGCTACTCCTTAGCTGTTGTCTTGCAGCAGAAAAGAAAGAAAGAAAGAAAAGAATAATGATGTCTCTGCCTACAACCTTCTGAACCATAACCCTGGCAGATTTGGTACTTCATTTAAGTGGAATTAAACTATTTTTGCTGAAATTAACCTTGATTGGATAGTCCTGTTATACTCACACCAGAGATTTTGAATCCTCCGTAGGTCTAACGTATGCAATTTTAGCAGTTCGAGGATTCTGATGTTCATAGCATCCACTCCGCAGTCTTTGCTGAGAACCTATTACGTGTTGAGCCATATAGTAGGAGCTGGAAACAAAGTGTAAGCACGACAGATGTGTCTCTGTCTCATCAGAAAATACAGGCATGCAGGTGGGGATGCAGCCATTAAACAGATTATTGTACTGATCGAAGTATAACCACAGGCCTACGTTTTATGATTCTGTGAGGCAGTGGAACCTCACCTGGCCTGGGGGGTTTGAAGACTTCCTACTTGAGGTGACACATAGAGGACAAGGAAGAGGGAAGCCAGGTGGAGAGGGCGGAGGCGGGGAAGAAGGTTGTCCTGCAGGTAAAGGGAACAGCAGATCTGAGTCAGGGAACTCTTCGAGGCCAGAGTCTAGAGGATGGAGAGTCTATGTGATTTGAAGTAAGGCCAGAGAGCCGGATTCTGCAGGTGCCATGGGTCAGAGGAGGATAATGGTCTTCATTCAGTGACTTAGGTAAAGCTTGTAGGGGAGTTCTTGGCATGGCATCGATGTTAATATGATATTATATTATAGTTATAAACTATAGTGTTAAGTAATATTCAATGTTAACTATTACTGTTTCTTTTCAGAGCAGAGGGAAGCCCCTACAAATTTTAGGCAGGAGTATGACCAAATTTGCATTTTGTGGCCTTTTTCTGGCTGTGGTGTAGAAAACAGATTTGAGAGAGGAGGTTGGTGCGTATGGCTCTGAGAAGACTAGAAGCAAGTGTGTTCATCTAACAGGTGGTCAGAATACAGTGAGTCACCCGGGGCCTGGGCCTCACTGGTGCCTATAACTGTTCATGACTCAGGAGATACATAACTTGGCGGGTCTCAAAGTTGTATAAGGTTGTGTAAATGTAGCTACTTTTTCAGAAATTTTGAGCTATCCAATTTTAGATTTAGTAGGGAGCCTACTGCAGAATCCACTAGTCATTCTACTTTGGAAGGCATTCGGTATAGACCATTAAATAGCTTGTAGAATCATTCGAGAAGGCAAAGCTTTCAGAAATGTCTCCCAACGCCACATCACAGAATGGGCCTTCCCAAGAGTTGCTGCTTCATCCTCGGCAAAAAGCTGAGGAATGAGGAAGCTACCCTCTGTTGCCCCCATAGCTCTTTGATAATCTCTTGCCAATTTACCGACAAAACAATGGGCGTTGTTGCGCCCATTCTCCAAGCTGCTGGCTCCTGCCAGGCTCCCAAGCGGCTCTTCAGCACAATCAAAGTTCTACATTCTACAAACAAATGCGCAGAAAGCTAGAAGCCAGCATTAAGACCTCCGCCACCACAACCACTAAACACATAAAGGCCTCCAAGAGCCTGGCCCAGGATGCTGTAGTCTGCCTTTGTTTGGCAGAACCTTAATCACATCAGAACCCTGGCTGCATAGAGTTGAGCTCTTTAGCTCTGCGGTGCAGGAAAGCTCCCGGAAGGATGCTGGAACGAGCCCACCTGTAGGATGCACCATGCAACCTAAGTTCAGATGCTAGCTAGCCATTCAACAGGGATTTACATTCCCCCCCCTCACCATACAAGCTGTGTACGTGTGGGCACTCCCTGAGCCTCAGTAACTTCATTTATCAAAGTGGAGGTAATGATATTTATCTTCCAGGGTTCCTGGGGGAATTAAGTTAAATATGATAAGCAGAAGAGCCATAAGATGCCTGGCACATGGTAGACATTTAGTCAATGAGACATCAGTCAGTCACAGAACACCATTCCCCAACTCTATAGAAGAAACAGTATCCCTGTAAAGGAGGAGATAAAGTACAGCTTCCCGCTAGAGAGATTTCATGGCCTGGAGACAGGTGGCCCTGCACCAGGCGCATGGACTTTGGGAAGCAGATTTGCCCCCGGATGAGTATGTGGGATTTGTGTGTGCATGCTAGTTCTTTTAGTTGTTATTTCTTTCGTTTTTAATTAGTTTTTTTTAATTTAAAAAATAATACATACACATAAACAATGAAAAGAAAGCCTCTCTTTGTAGGTCAAATTTCCTGAAATATCTATGCATATAAGCATATATGTAATACAGATTCTTTCTTTGTTCACCTACACAAATGGGGTCATATTTTCTCCCTTCCTTCTTCTCTCTCTCTCTCTCTCTCCTTCCTTCCCACCTCCCTCCCTCTCCTTCGAGATAATTTATTTTAGTTCATATAGAACCAAACACCTACTGATTATAGCTAGTTGTTTGAATGATTTTGCTTTACAAAACTGCTCTAACACCTGTTCTTATACAGAAGTGACAATATCTGTACAAGAAATTTTTAGAAGTGGAAACGCTGGGTCAAAGGTTAGGTCCAGTTTATAATTGTACTGATATTAGCAAATGGCTTTCAAAACAGTTGTCCCAGGGAATGCTCTTTACCAATGCTGTGTATGCTGCTTTTGTGCCTCCATCCTCACCAACAATGAGTCAGACTTTCTGACTTTGGTCAATGAAGATGAGGGAAGTTAAGAGGTGATACTAGGGTACACCAAGAGACATTCTGACCAAGGAATGGAAGTAAGCGATTGCAGGATAGGAGGTGAGAGAAAGTAGGACTGAAATTTAAATTTAGAAGGGAAACCAGCAATCTGACACTCTGTGCCTGGCAGTGACTTGACCAGGCAATGCACCTGTTACTATGTTCAGTCCTTGTAACCACATTCACCCATACACATTTTTATCCCCCATTTGACTCTGACAGCCAGTCTCTGTCCACTCTACCTCCTGTGTCCTTATTACAGTTGAGGAACCAAGGCCCAAAATAGTTAAGTGATGTATCCAACATCCCAAAGCATGCTAAGTCAGGGCAGGGGTTCTGTTTTCCACCTTCGTAAATGCTACATAAGTCCAGGATTTGAGTCTTTACCAAAGAAGCCACAAAGGATCAGAATTATATCTCCAGGGCATATTTCATCCACATTTGAGTTTAATGGTCCAGTTGAATTCAGTTATTTCCTATAATCGAAGAGGTTCCATTATAGTTGCATGGACATGGTCTGAAACTCACGGACCTTTTTTCACACTGGTGATAGGTTCTGTATAAAGTTCTTCCCCAAAGATTTTATGTCCCTTTCCACAAAAACTACTGTGTTTACCCAAGGAGCACTCTTGACAAAAGCTACATGAGATGAAAGCTTTAAGCTCCTTGGGATTTTAAGATTTTCTTATAAAGGATTACGCAGCCCATTGTGAGTTCTACCCTTAGTCCTCTGGAATCTTAAAATTGTCCTGTAAATCCCTCCTCGAAGCCCTTTTGGACCCTTAGGCTAGCATCTGTGTCCTCTTCCTCATTGTTTGCTGCTATCTCGGAGTTCCCAATCTTTTCTGTGTACATCTGGGCAGTTTCCACTTGAGTTAAAAACTTGTGACTTCAGATTGTCAGATCTAATGATGATTAGAGACATTCATATAGAGTGTAAAGTCCCAGTGCGGGGGCCACTTTTCAGTGGCACAGTATTTGGGTTGATCGTCGTCATTGGAGGGGTGGGATGATGATTGAGAATTGATGGAAAGAACTAAAAAAAATAAACCTTTTATCTGGAAATTGAAGCTGGGCCAATGCCTTTTTTTTTTTTTTTTTTAAATTAAGAAAGCCAACTTTTGAATTGTCCCAATTGGAAAACATCCTGTTAATGGTCATTGTTTTAGGGCAGAGCCATGGTGTTCTGGAGAAAGAGTCCATTTGATGTACTTGTGCAAAGCAAAAAAAAAAAAAAAAAAAGTGTCCGTGTCAAAGAAGGGAATTTGTTGGAATTTGAGGGCTGCAGTGATCTTAGAAGTTAACTAGCCCGATGCCTGGTTTTATAGGAATGGAAATGGAGACATGTGGGATTTAGCCCAGAAGCCACTTCTGAGCGGTGTCCGCTGGAGCGAGAACCAGGTTCTTCTGTCTCCATTTGGTATATTGTTCAATTTCCATGCATGTGACCCACATCTGATAATCTGCTGAGAGAATATGATTATCTGGGATTTTGTTTGTTTTCCGGAAGTGCCAGTGACTTATTTTCAAAGCTATCCTAAACACACCTAACTGCTTTCAATGCAAGAGAGGGGTACACAGATGAGATGAGTCTGTTAAAAGAGGTGGTCTCAAAGACAGTGGATTGAACTCCTTTTACACGGGCTGCTTAGTTGGTAGGTAGGATATGTGATCTTCGCCTCATTGCAGACACCGCCGTCCCACTTTTAGTTTGTGATTAAATGCATAACTGCCATGTAGTTATACTGCCGACTTAAGTCAGGAAACTAAGAGGTGTCTTCTTCGTGAATGACCAACTGCTCAGGACTTGTTTCAAATTGATGATATAAATAATCTAACAAGGTCCTTCATTGTACATTTCTCAGAGCAAACAGAATGCAGTGTGTTTTTATAACCAGATAGCTATTTGATTTTTTTTCCTCTTTCCCACATTTGGATATAAATGGATATAGAATTACTTAAAATGCTGCATATAAATTAAACATTAAAAGGGAGATATGGAGAGGCTGAGCTGCCCCATTATAATCTTCAGTTCCTCAGTCACTGCCTCAAGGACACTCCATTTCATGTCACGTGTCCTTCTTTGGAAAAGTGATCACCAAGGTTCAAGTAACATTTAAGCATAGAGGCAACTGCATAATTTATGGACCTTTTTTTTTGTTTTGTTTTGTTTTGTGTTCTTATTTTAATGAAACGGGAAAACAGAAGGCTTCCTTTAACTCCCACTAACTCCCCTTGTGCTTCCCTCCTGTCTTTGCAGATCGGGGCCCTAAAGGACTACTACCACTTCTACCATAGCAGGACGATTAAAAGGTCAGTTCTCTCGAGCAGAGGAACCCACAGTTTCATTTCAATGGAACCAAAGGTAAGAAGAACCAGTTGGGTGGGGACCAAGAGGTGAAAGCTTCTGCATTTTTCATTGGTAATAGCACACTAGGAACTGATGACCAGCGTGAAGACTCACGTTTCGGGAAGCCATCCTATTATCCTTTGGTCGAATGTCTTGGCTTCTGCTTTGGACAAAAATAGACGATCGCTTGATTTTCACTGAACCGCCATTATCATCCCAGGTCAGGGGTATCATAAGTATGGGTTCTCATGGAGAAGGGAGGAGTGTGTGCAAGGGGAGATACTGATTGATTCAGAAGTGATGAAATAGTAAGAATACCACACCATCTTACTGATTTGCATGTAGATCTGAGGTTCTAGCCAAACTCCATAGAGGGGTCCCTAACAAAATCCTTAGGTCAGGCGTCAGGGCACCATGGGTCCTCGCAATTTCGTCTGACGTTGGTAGAGCCATGCCTTTGGCAGCCTGAAGACTAGATCATGCCTGGGACGGGAGGGATACTGAATACAGAAGGGGTAGAAGCTGGCTTCTGGTTTTGAGGTAGGGCTCATCAAGTAGTTTTCTTGCACGTTGTCTTTAGTCCATGTCCTTTGGGGTTATATAGACAACATCCCCTTGGGAGTACCTAGAAGGAGATATGATACATCCACGTTCTCCCACTCCATTCTGGAGAGGTGGGACAGCTTCGGACTGGGAGATAGGAAGCTGAAGGGTGTTAGGGACAAACCAACCAGTAACTGGCAACTAACAGTCAGGGGGTGAGTTACACACACACATATCCTTATTAAATTAGAGGAAGGCACGGACTCTGAGGGGGACCTCCTTGGCCCCCCATATGTGGCAAGTAAAACGGAGAAGGCAGCTGTACCAGCCTGCCCCAGTTCCTTTGTGGGCTCACTGTTGATTACTTATTGATTAGGAGGGCTTTTTTACCACCCCCATTATGTTCATTGCCACATCAACTCATTTTCACATAAATTGGTGAACAAGTCCATACAAGTGAGCATGGCAATCTCACCTACAGATGCCACGAAAATTGTATTCCTCATTAAAGCAAAAATTCCTTATTTGCATTAATATGCAAATCAGGTTTGCAGTTTGGAGTCCTGCCCTCTGTTATGTGCCACGGTTTGCCTTGTTTAATTTGTTTCTGGAATATTATCACATGGTTGTTCATGATTGTGAAATTGTATCTTGGTCATTCGAGAAAGCATATTTCTTGTAGGTCCCAATTTTCTATAACCCAATTTGGGATTATAGGAACATCCCCTAAGACTTACACTCCAGTGGCCTGAGGATTGTATTTTTTTTTTTCCCCTTCATCTCTATTCAGAATTGAATGTCTCTGGAAAAGCAATCTGTTGGGATGTTCTTGAATTAGCTAAATTTTTGAAGCAAAGTCACGTTTTTCATCTGCTAAACAACTTTTTTTGAAGCTTTCTTGAACTTTGGTAATTAAAACGATTCCAATTTCATACCTCATGTGTGTAGTCTGTGTGAATTTGAGAAACCAAGTGCTAGTTGGTTTGGGAGGTAAGAACAGAATGTAATGAGGCATTGTGTTCATAATGAAGTATTTACTGAATATGGAGTTGCTTCAGTCTGTAATGCCATCTTGGGGAATCTTGGTCTTCATGTTGTCTTCTTTTTTTTTTTTTCATTTTTTTTTTTTTTAGCTTTATTTGAGAAAGAGAGAGAGAGGGAGAGAGAGAGAGTCGGGGGAGGGACAGAGGCAGAGACCCTTCAAACCGCCTCCCCGCTGAGTGTGGAGCTTGACGTGGGGCTCGATCCCACAACCCATGAGATCTCGACCTGAGCCGAAGCCAAGAGTTGACGTTTAACTGACTGAGCCATTCAGGCACCCCTCCCTGGTCTTCATTCCTTTTAATCTTGGTGCATCAGATAGCTTATGCAGGATCCCACAGAGAACTTGGATGCTGGTGCACATCATACCTGGAATGTATGCCATTCCTCACCCAGTCCAGAGAGTAGGGCCATTTCAGGACAGTTCTAGGGCACATGCTTGCTCAGTTACCCTTCCTCCTCAATAAAAAGAACACCCCTTTGGAGAGCCATATCTTACTTTTTATTTGGATGCCTCCTGCCCCTCATTCCCACCCAGCTGTTTATACAAGAGGGCCATAATCCTACCGACTTTGCAGCTGGAGCACCATGATGGGGGCTGCCCACAGTTTCTTTCAGACACTTCTTACAGCTCATTCATTCATTCATTAGCCATTTCTTGAGCCAGCAGTATATGGCAGGCCCTATGTTTGGCTCTGGGGATTTGGAGACATAGTGGTGCCAGAGGGGAGTTCACTGCAGGCTTCCACAGTGGCTGTCAGGGAAACCCACAACAATCCAATGCTTCTCAGGTGTTGGGGACGGGGGGAGCAAATGGGATGGACGTGCACTATATTCCTCCTCCTTCTCTAGTTCTGTCCTCAAAGAGCTCAGGCCCACTTGGGTCATTATTATTATTTTTTAATCTTGAAAACGTTTTTACTTGGGGAAGTCACAGAAATGTTGTGAGGAATCCCTATGTAAGCTTCCCACCTTCCCCAAATGTTAATGTTTATGTTTTACATTTTACCATACCTACTTGATCATGTTCTCTCTCTCCTCTTTATACACAAACACACCCACACACACACGTATATGTATGTGTACAAATCTATATATATAGTTTTTTTCTGAAAATTTGGTTGCAAATTACACACATGATGCCCCTATGACTTTATGGATTTCACTGTGTATTTACTCAAACCAAGGACATTCTGTTATTATAACCGGAAGTACAGACAGTTAACATTCTGGTAAAAATCTGGATATTAACAATGATTTAATATTATTATCCAATCTACAGATTTCATTCAAGTTTTTCCAGTTGTCTCTTTTCTGGGCCAAGAACGCATCTAGCTGTCATTTGTCCCATGTCCCCTTTGTAGATTGTGTCATACTTCTTTCCGTTTTCTTTTTTTTCTTTCAACAACTAGCACTTTTTTCTTTTTAAAAATTTATTTATTTTAGAGAGAGAGAGCATGCGCACACGTAAGTGGGGGGAGGGCCAGAGAAAGAGGGGGAGAATCCTCAAGCGGACTCCCCACTGAGCATGGAGCCCAACACACGGCTCTATCCCAGGACCCAGAGATCATGACCTGAGCCAAAATCAAAAGTCAGATGCTTAACCACCCGAGCTACCCAGGCACTCCAACAGCTAACGGTCTTTTTGAAGGTTACTGTTATTTTGTAGATTATCTAACGTCATGATTAATTCAGGTTTCGCAAAAACACCAGAGGAGTGCTGGGTTCTTAGTGCCTCAGATCAGGAAGTGCGTGATGTTGACTTGGTTTGTTACTCGTGATTTTAACTTTGGTTCCTTGGTGGTGACACACGTAGTGTCTGCCAGTCTTCTCTATGTTAAAATGACTAGTTCCCCCTCCCCTTTTTAAAAGATTTTGTTTATTTATTTGACAGAGAGAGACACAGCGAGAGGGAACACAAGCAGGGGGAGTGGGAGAGGGAGAAGCGGGCTTCCCGCCGAGCCGGGAGCCCCGTGCGGGGTTCCAGCCCATGACCCTGGGATCATGACCTGAGCCAAAGGCAGACGCTTAACCAACCGAGCGACTCAGGTGCCCTAGTTTCCCCTTTCTAATGAATAAGTGTTTGATGGGGAGATACTTTGAGATGGCGTGAATGTGTGTGGGCTGTCTTTGTATGTTTCACTCCCGGCAGCCTGTGTTGGGGGGATAAAGCTAGCGTCTGTGTGACTCGCTTTCTTAGGAAGGTCTTTTCTTGACTGTTAGGTGTATGTATGGTAGATGGTTACTGTGCCAGAGTGGAGATGCATATGTGATCGGGGTGATGGGACCACGTGGACTGGCTTGGTGGCAAACATTGGTGGTGCATCGAAGTTACTTTTGATTGTCATTTTCTTCAGAAAGGGCGTACCAGTGAATTGCAGGGAATATGTACACTAAACAGATCCTGGCTTTACTTGATGTAGTAAATTGCACGTTTTTTTTTTCCCCCTCTGCTTTTGGTTTTATTTAGAGGGTTCTAAAGAAGGAAGTGCTCAAGTGGCCAGGAGGGTTGTAAGAACAATCTTCTGGTGCTAAGAAAATGCTGTGGTCAGTTGGGGCACATTGAGCCCAGAGAACAATAGCCTGGTTTCCATATGTTAACATTATGTTATGATTAGCTTTTTAAATGACGGAGGTGCACAGACTTCTAAGACAGTGTCATTAGTACAGTAATAACAGTTTTGCAGAAAACATTGGTACCGTATTACAGCAGTTGGACCCCAGGGAGTCTTGCAGTATTCGTATCCATACCTTTCTTTGTGACGGGCCAGCTTTTTACTCCAAGAGACCCAAGCTAAATTTCAGAAACAATGGTTTTGAGTTAACATTCTCAGAAGCCTCTCATTAATCTGTTTAGAAATCTTTGCCAGCCCTGTGGCATTTGGTCAAGGAGGCTGTCATCTGTAGAGAGCTTTGGAATGGAAGTTCTTTTTTTTTTTTCCTAAGATTTATTTATTTATTTGAAAGAGAGCAAGAGAGAGAGTTGCCATGTGAGCAGGGGGAGAGGCTGAGGGGGGAGGGACAGAATCTCAGGCCAACTCCCCACTGAGTGTGGAGCCAGATGTTGGAGCTTGATCTCACGACCCTGAGATCACGACTTGAGCTGAAATCAAGATTTGGACGCTTAACTGACTGAGCCACCCAGGCACCCCAGAATGGAAATTCTTTATAGATTTTGTGCTGCCCATGTGGACACGGGCTGGGGCAGAGGTGGGATTTTTCATTCTCCTCCTTCTTACCCAGAATAGAAAAACCAGAATCCTAAATTTCCTATCAGAGTAGGCATTTAAAAATCTAAAAAACGTAAAAACAAAAAAAAAACCCCAAAACCCTTGCCATTAAGTTCGGTCCTCATATCTTATCCATGTGTAATTTACAACATAGCTCCTTTTGCCCATTAGATTTGATCTTGAAAGTTCTGGCCTTTTAGT